TGTTGAGGTAAAGAAAACTTCAGACTCTCTGTACTTCTGAATGGCCTACTTTTGGTGTTGGATGGCCACCCAGTGGCACTTTTGACTCAGAAATTATATTTCTTGTTAAAACCCAAGTTTTTCTCCCAGGCAGCTCCGGACACCAGACCAGCAGCCATACATCCTGGTCTGGCAGGACTTGGTCGGAAACCCTCCCTCCTGGCTTGTTCCTTTTTTGCAGAGAAATTCTTCAAAGATCCTGGCGCTTAAGGAGGACACAGGCCGTGGCGGCCAGCGCCCCCAACCCGTCCTCCTGCCCCCGAAGTCCTTTACCCAGTTCTGCAGAGCGGCATGGACTAGGAACTCCTGTCTCCGCCACCGTCCCAGCCCCCTCCCAGGAACACCCAGTAACAACCCTTTGGTTCCTGATCCTCGTCCCCTTCCTACCCCCGCCCCTGATGGCGGTGTCGGTGGCAGTGGACTCAGGCCCCGAGCGCCACCAAAAGACTCCACAGTCTCGCCTCTCGGGGCAGCAGGACCCCGGACGAGGTGGGATTCAGCCCCTTCACTGGCTGCCGTTGGCCACTAGCGGTTGGAATAAAAGCAGAAAGCTAAGTCCTCGGAAAACCCATCAGACGGAACCCTCCCGGACAGCGCTCTCTACCCGCAGCCCCCTGGGACGACCACGGACAGCGGCTGCGCACCCTCCACGACAGAGGGAGGGAGGTCGGAGACCCTGGGGATGGTGGCGGCCCCGACCGACCCAGTTACAATGAACAGCGCCTTTCCCCTGAGCCGCCCAGACAGGACCATGGGACTGCATACGGCTGAAGGCAGGCAGCTCCGAACCTATCCATTTGGCCTGGGTATACAGTAGACAGTCCACCCCCAGAAACAGAAGAAAACCAGCGGCAGTAGTGATGCCTTTGTAAAGCAGTCAGCGCCAGACATTAGAAGAAAGTTACAGAAGCTGGACGATTTGGAAGGGGAAACCTTGCAGGACTTGCTGGCCACAGCGGGACTGGCCAGAAGACAGACAAGTGAAGGCGACCGGGGAGATGACCGAGTCCGGGTAACAGCAATAAGCAGCAGCAGCCACACCCTCCCTCCACCAGAGGACCCCCAGAGGGTAAGAGGAGCCCTGCGGGAGGAAGGCAGGATCTGCAAAAGAATCAGAGTGTCTATTGCAAGGGAATAGGGCACTGGCTCAAGGACTGTCCCAAAAGGTCTAGGGGCCAAGGAGAGGGGAGGCGCCTTTGCCCCATTCTAAGCATGAACAACCCAGATAGTGACTAGGAGAGTTGGGGTTCGGCTCCCCTCCTTGAACCCAGGGTAACTCTTAAGGTGGAGGGGACTCCGATAGACTTTCTAGTGGACGCTGGAGCTCAGCATTCCGTCCGGTTGAAACTCCAAGGAAAGTTACCAGGAAAGACATCCTGGGTACAGGGAGCTACCGGAATGTGCCAATATTCATGGACTACCCGAAGGACAGTGGACCTAGGCATGGGCGGGGTATCCCACTCATTCATGGTGATCCCAAAATGCCCCTACCCCTTGTTGGGAATAGACTTACCCAAATGCCCCATCCAGGTATTAACTCTTGCCCTGGAGGATGAATACTGGCTTCACCAGCAGCTGGTAGCCATTAATGAAAACATACATTACTGGCTGCAATCCTACCCTGAGGCTTGGGCAGGGTGGGGGGCTGGCAAAGCACAGGCCTGCAATCTTCATTGAGTTATTAGAACCTGGTGCAGACCAGTCCGGGTTTGACATTACCCAGTGTCCACGGAAGCCGGAGTGGGGATAACACCCCTCATCCGGTGTCTGTTGGAATTGGGGGTGCTGAGACCCTGGCAGTCAGCCTGGAACACTCCTTTGCTGCCAGTCCGCAAGCCCCAGTCAGATGACTGTCGGCCAGTACAAGACCTGAAGGAAGTAAACAAGAGGGTGATGGACATCCACCCAACTGTCCCCAACCCACACACCCTCCTGAATGCACTTCCACCAGAACGGCAGTGGTACACTGTCCTGGACTTGAAGCATGCTTTCTTTAGCCTGCCCCGGCCGGCACCCAAAAGCCAGAAATTGTTTGCCTTTGAGTGGACAGAGGTTGAGAAAGGCATCAGCGGACAACTAATCTGGACCAGACTCCCCCAAGGATTCAAGGACTCTCCAAGCATCTTGGACGAGGCACGGCATGAGGACTTGGTGAGTTCAGAGCAGAACGCCCTGACTTAACCCTTTTGCAGTATGTTGATGACTTGCGGATTGCCACCAAGACCAGAGAGGAATGCAAGCCGGGGACTAAGGCTTACTCAGAGCCTGGGAGGCGTGGGTTACCGCGCTTCAGCCAAAAAGGCCCAAATCTGGGAGCCAGAGGTAACTTACCGGGCTACTTGATAGAGGAAGGACAATGGTGGCTCAGGCAAGCTAGAAAAGAGACCTTGCTGAGAATTCCCAGGCCCCAGACCCCGCGTCAGGTGAGGGAATTCCTGGGGCCAGCAGGTTTGTGTAGATCGTGGGTCCCTAGCTTTGCTGAGCTTGCAAAGCCCCTCTATGAAGCCGCTAAGGACGGGCAACAGTTTCAGTGGACTGAGAAAATGGATCAGTCTTTTAACCAAATTAAGACTGCCTTGCTGTCAGCCCCTGCCCCGGGACTCCCTGGTGTCACTAAGCCCTTTCACCTGTACATGGCGGAGCACAAGGGGGTTGCCAAGGGAGTCCTGACCCAGTATCTGGGCCCATGGAAGAGGCCAGTGGTTAACTGTCGAAGGGGCTAGATCCTGTGGGGGCCGGATGGCCACCTTGTCTGAGGATGATTGCAGCCACCTCCCTGATGGTGAAAGACGCAGATAAGCTGGCCTGGGACAAGAACTGTACATCGCCACACCCACGCTGTTCCAGGGGTGCTGAGGCCATCAGACTTCCTCCCTTCCCGGGTTTGCTACTTGACCCTCTCAGAATCAGTTTCCAGACCCCCTCAGCACTCAACCCCTCGACCCTGCTACCGGACCCAGACTTGGAGACACCTCTGCATGATGGCACAGGAATTTTGGCTCAGGCTCACGGCATTCAGCATTTGAGAGGACCTTAAGGATCAGCCTGTACCCGATGCTGACCTCTTGTTGTCCAGGTGATAAGCCTGGAGCTTATTGACCTCTGTGGTTCACGGATGGAAGCAGCTTTATCTGAGCAGGTCAGTGGTATGCAGCGGTAGTGACTGAGACCCAGGTGATTGGGCTCAGCCTGTACTAGCTGGGACTTCCACCCTGAGAGCCCAGTTAGTGACACTGACCTAAGCATTAACGCTGGGTAAGGACACGAAGCTGATGGTGTACCCCGACAGCCGCTCTGCATTTCCACTGCCCAATACCTGGAGCCATCTGTAAGGAAAGGGGGATCCTGACTGCAGAAGGGAAGGCTACTAAAATCAAAGAAGAAATATTAGCCCTAATTATTGCCCTGTGGCTGCCAAAGAAATTAGCCATTGTCCACTGTCCAGGGCATCAGAATCCCAAAGACCCTGTAGCCAGAGGTAAAAACCTGGCTGACAAGACAGCCTGGGAAGTTGCCCTTCGCAGGGATCCTGTCTTAGTAACCAACCTTCCAGACCCAGGACCCAGACAGCTACCAGACCATCCCCAATATACTAAAGAAGACCTGGACCGGACTCATAAATTACCCAAGAATGGTACCGGGTGGCGGAAGACCAAGTCACACTGCCTGAAAGAATGGGAGAGCAGCTATTGCTAAAAATGCACCAGACCACTCACATGGGCACTAAAGGATGCAAGACCTGGTAAGACACACCAAAATAAAGATTAAAGACGCACATTCTAAGACTGATCAGGTTGTAGCTAGTTGCAAAGCCTGCCAGCTGAGAAATGCAACCCAGCGTGAGGGCAACTCGGGATCGCGACAGAGAGGTGATGAGCCTGGAGCTTATTGGGAAGTGGATTTCACTGAGGTAAAACCAGGAAAATATGGTTATAAATATGTGTTAGTTTTTATAGATACTTTTTCAGGATGGGTTGAAGCATTTCCCACCAAGCATGAGACAGCACTGATGGTGGCAAAGAAGCTACTAGAAGACATGCTGCCCAGGTAGGGCCTCCCAGTAACGAGAGAGTCAGACAATGGACCAGCTTTTGTTTCCAAGGTAATTCAGAGCTTGGCTAATGTTTTGGGGACCAATTGGAAACTACATTGCGCATATAGACCCCAAAGTTCAGGACATGTAGAGAGGATGAATAGACTCTAAAAGAGACCCTAACTAAATTGTCCATGGAGCCTGGCAGTGACTGGGTGGCTCTCCGTCCCTATGCCCTGTGCAGAGTGCAGAATTCTCCGTACAAAATAGGACTTCCCCCTTTTGGAATAGCGCCCCCTTTGATTCCCAGTTTTCAGTCTGACTGACTTGCTGAATTTGGTGATGACCAGCTTTGGCAATCCCTCAGGGCCCTGTAGCAGGCCCACCCGGATGTGTGGCCACAACTGAAGGCCCTCTATGAGACTGGACCACCTCTGGAACCTCACCGCTTCAGGCCAGGAGCCTGGGTGTTCCTTGAGAATTGATCCTGTCTAAGGCAGTGCCTAACATTAAGGATTGTCATTGTCTTGATTAAGAACCTAAGGACGGGGGCTGAGGTTGTGGCTCAGCGGTAGAGCCCTCGCCTTGTACCTGCGAGACCCTGGGTTCGATCCTCAGCACCACGTAAAAATATATGAACAAGATAAAGGTATGGTGTCCAACTACAACTAAAAAATAAATATTAAAAAAAAAAGAACCTAAGAACCTATAGAGTGAAATTGTATTGAGTAATTTGAGTGAATAAGGCACTGAAAGGGGCAGAAGTGTGTGGACATGCTTTATGTCTCCCCTCGACTGCATCTGTTGTAATGTTGCCCCCTCGTGACACCTGAAAAGACCCAAGAGTGTTTGAGGCCTAAGGCCTGACTCTGAGAACCCAAGCAACCCCCTAGCAGCAACCAATCAGCGTGAGACAGCGAAGATATCTGGAATGCCAGGCGACCCCCAGTCGTCTCAGTGACTGTTGACATGTTAGGAAACCAACCGTGTAGCTTAGAACGTACATCTTTGCAACTCCTCGTGGCTTAAACCAATCGGTTTAAATGTATCCACCCCTTGTACTGACCAATCACACTTACCCGACTTGTTCCCGCCAATGAGCGTGCTCACCAGTGTTAAGAATTGTTTGATTTTCCCGCAGTAGGGAATGATTTGCTGTGTGATATTAGAGTATCTCCAAAAACCTATAAAATCTCACTGAGCAAAGGACTGGGACTCACTCCTCAGAACTGCTGCGTCAGAAACGGTTGTGAGTCCAGGCTCGAGTTGCAATAAAGACTCTTGTGTGCTTGCATCCGATTCAGCTCCTGGAAGTCTTTCAGGGTCCCGAAAATCCAGCATTACACCAGCCCTATTTATTTATTTATTTTGGTACCGGAATTGAACTCAGGGGCACTCGACCACTGAGCCACATCCCCAGCCCTGTTTTGTATTTTATTTAGAGACAGGGTCTCACTGAGTTACTTAGCGCCTCACTTTTGCTGAGGCTGGCTTTGAACTTGGGATCCTCCTACCTCAGCCTCCTGAGCCACTGGGATGACAAGCGTGGCCACCATGCCCTGCCCTTTTTATTCTTTTGAGACCTGGCTAAATTGCTGAAGCTGGCCTCGAACTTGAGAGCCTCCTCCTTCAGTCACTGTACCTGGCCTCTTCTTTTCTAAGAGGAGCTAAGCCCAGAGACAAGGGCTAATGCCTGCCTAAGTCCGAGGCAATGCAGGGACAGCAAGTTAGTGACTGGGCCTCAGGAAAGAGAAAACAGGAGGCAGACCCAGGACAGGCACTCGGAGGGCCTCAGAGGTACTTGAGGCGGATCTGGTGTGATGTGGCACAGATGAGGCTGGACCCCCACAGGATTATCAGGAAGCAGGTTTATTTAAGCTGCAGCAGTCCACAGGGGTTGGTGCCTAAACCTCTGGACCTTGGGTCTGGAAATCCTTTTAAATTTATGCCCAGTGATAGGGTTATATTCTAGTGGGTAGTGACATGGCAGGTACTCTTTTTCCCATATTCTTAGGCTACACAGAGGCTTCACAAGTTTTTACCAGGAACACAGAATAGTAATTTTTGTACAGCAACACGCTCACGACAGACCTAGGTTTTACAGGAGAGTGAAGCCTGGCCTGAGCTGCAAACCACTGGAGCTGTCTGCAAACTCCGGGGAAACTCTGCGACACTCTGTAAAATCTTGCTGATAAGAACCTGAATTGTGTGGAATGTCCCTGCAAAAGCTTAATTAGGACTTTTTTTTTAAAACATCTTTATTTTTATTTTTTTTTAGAGAGAGAGAATTTTTTAATATTTATTTTTTAGTTTTCAGCAGACACAACATCTTTGTTTGTATGTGGTGCTGAGGATCCAACCTAGCATCCCGCATATGCCAGGTGAGCGCGCTACCGCTTGAGCCACATCCCCAGCCCAGGACTCTTTGATGGTAGCTGCATCAGAAGGCACTAGATTTCCATTGGAAGAGAAAGGTGAATTCAGGGGCTGGGGATATAGCTCAGTGGGCAGAGTGCTTGCCTTACATGCACAAGGCCCGGGGTTCAATCTCAGGTGAAAAACAGCCTCTACCTCAGAGCAAAGCCTGTCCAAGGAAGGGGGCTTGACCTTTGTCCTTGGAAAGACCCACAGAGCACTCCTAGGCACATTCCCACCCTGCTGAGTTGTTTATCTACAAATAACAGGAGAGATCTGCTGCGCCAGGTGTCCCTGACTCAGTCAGGCTACGTGGGGACCCATAGCAGCCCCCTAGCAGCCACCAATCAGCATGAGACAGGGAAATACCTGGGATGCCAGATGACCCTCCCAGGAGTTTATGGTGTTGGGAAACCATGTAGTTCAGCACGTACACCCCTCTTGGCTTAAACCAGTCAGTTCAAATGAATCCCCCTCTGTACTGACCAATCACCCCTCCCCAACTTGTTCCCGCCAGTGAATGTGCTAATCATGTTTTAGAGCTGTTATTTGATTTTCCCGCGGTGGTGTGTGATGATTTGCTAAGAGATGCTATGATGTATGTGAGGTCCCTGCCTTCCCCAAAGAGTGTATAAAACTGCTGCAAACCCTGGGCTCGGGCCTCTCAGCGCCACCAGTTGCTGTGTGTGCGCGCGGAGGACGGAGCTGGCTCGCAGTAAACACCTCTTTGCTGCTTACATGGATCTTGGTCTCTGGTGGTCTTTTGGGGGTCCTGAATTCGAGCATAACACCTGCCTTGGTTCTGGACCTGGTCACTGCCGTCTGAATGAGTGTGCATCTGCTGGACGTAAAGCCACCTGCCCAGTGAGGTGGGGGATGAAGGCCCTTGGTCCCTCCACTGGCCCTGCATCTCAGGGAAGGGGCTGGGGTCAGGGTGCCATCTGAGCCCAGGATGAGGCCCTGGCCACACCTTTGTTGGTATTTGAATCTCTCTTGGCAAACCGCCCAGGATCCAGCTCCAGACACCAGCCATTGTGGTAAGTCTCTTCTGTGAGGCAGCCGAGCCAGGCCCTGGGCCTCGCCCATGTCCTTGTCCCTCTGGCTATGCCAGGCCTCATTTGCTCCTGGATTTCCTGGATTTGAGGTGAGAACACAGAAGGCAGAGCGCGGAGGGACTTCCAGGAACCCACACCAGCAGAAGCTCCTGGGAGCTCAGCAACCTGGACTCCAGATGTGCGTGGGTTCCACTAGGTGGCGCTGAGGTGCACCGTGATGACTGGAGGCTCTAGGGAGAGGAGCCGCAGCGACCCCAGGGACCCCAGGGACCGGCCTGTGGCAGCAGCACAGTCAGGCTGCCGGGTCAAATGCTGCCTCCTCCACAGGCAGGTGCACAGGTTTTGCCATTTTTTTAAGATGGAATAAAACATTTAATAATAATTGAGTGTAGACAGGCGCAGTGGCTTAATCCAAGTGGCTCAGGAGACTGAGGCAGGAGGATCACAAGTTCAAAGCCAGCCTCAGCAAAAGCGAGGCTCTAAGCAACTCAGTGAGACCCTGTCTCTAGATAAGATACAAAATAGGCCTGGGATGTGGCTCAGGAGTGAGTGTCCCTGAGTTCAACCCCAGGACCCCCCCCCCAAATAATAATTGAGTATAGAATTTGGCATAAATAGGTGAGAAGAATGAAATTCTATTTGGGGATAGTAGGAATCCTGGGCTTCACACAGGCTGAATGTTTTCCATGTGATTTCTCTTAAATGATAACAAATGCCAGTCTTCAGGACACCCCGGGCAGATGGGGTGTGACGGCCTCGTCTAACCAGCTGGAGTCTGGGCCACGCAGAGCTCTGGCGTTCCGTGGGCAGAGCAGCTCCCCTCTGCTCGCCCTCCTCACAGGCTCTCAGCGTGGCTGAGACGTTGACATCAGGGACATCAATTCCTTGTTTGGGGACCCTGTCCTTTGCCTGGTAGGATGGTCTGTCCCTGGCCTGTACCTGTCACGTGTCAGTGGACTCTCTCCAAGCTGTGACCAGCAGAAAGTGTCTCCAGGCCCTGCCTGAGGCAGAACTACCTGGTGGAGAGTCCCTGTCCTCCACCTGGATGGGGGCTTCTCGTTTTCAATTCTATAGTGTTTCTGCCCAGGACCCTGTTGGCCTCTGGGCAGAAACCGTCCATGTATGGGCCAGTACCCCTCTGTCCTGGCTCCAGGCCACTCCACGCCTAAGCAGTGCTTCCAGGCATTGTGACCTCAGGATGCCCCCCAGGTTTCCCTGCAGTCCTGGCTGAGGACCACTGCGGAGCTCCCCCCAGAACTCAGTTCTCACCACAGCCTCCTGAGTGTCATCCAGGGCATGGAGCCCTTTAGAAAGGACTTTTTATTTCCTCCCTTTTGTTTGAAGTCGGGGTCTGGCTGAGTGCGGTGGCGCTGCCTGTATTCCCCACAGGGAGCCCAGAGTCACCTTAACCCTCTGTGGGCACATGATGGGCCCCTCAAGCCTCCTTGGTCTGAGGGAAGTCCCTCCACTGTCCCCAGACAGCCTGCACCCCAGCAGGCCCAGTGGCTGTCCCCAGGGCCAGGTCTGTTCCACCACCTTGGCTGGCCCAGGGCCTGCTCAGGGCTCTGCTGTGTGGAGGGCTTCAGGAATCAAGAGGCACTAGGTGACCAGTGGGTTTTCTGAGCCATTGTCCACCAAGACCCGCCTCCACACAGGGCTGGGCTCTGTGTGAGGTGGGTCAAGTGTGGAGGGAATGTGCCAGTCCCGATTCTTGCACTGTCCCAAGGCTTGGGGACAGTGAAGACTGCTGGGCCCTGCTGCAGCCAGGGACGGGTGGAAGCAGCCTGAAGCCAGATGTGCAGGCGGCAGCTGGCCTGTGAAGGGGGCAGGCCTCGCAGGCAGCCTCCTGGGCACTGCCTCTTGCCCTCTGGTGGGTGCACTGCCTGGCATGAGCACCAAGGTGCCAGCCCAGGGTCACAGCTGCGTTGGTGAGGAGAGGCTGCAGCCACATGCCTGTGTCAGAGGCTCAGCCAGGTCCCTGTCCTGGAATGGTCTGTGGGAGACGCTGTGATATGAACCGGCCCCTTCCCATCCCATTTCCTCCTTCAGGGAAGTCTAGGACCAGCTACCCCAGGTCCCTATCACCCTGGAGAAGTCATGGCCACACCGAGAGGGATGGA